GATGTTGTGGTCTGCTCTTCGTCTTTTAACCAGCCTTCCTGTTGGTCAATTTACTCAGTGGTCGGTGCTCACCTTTTCTCTGAACAGGCTGCTGGTCGAATGTCTGGTCCATGTTCATGCTTGTCTTCTTTACACACTAGCCCAGTGGGATTGGTCCCAAAGGGTTATGATGGTCTAGCATGGAAGATGGTAGTCGATTTGTCTTTGCCTAGGAGCCTGAGCATGAATAATAGTATTTCACCAGACCTTTGTTCTCTCAGCTATCCCTTTCTTTATGATGCTGCAGATTATGTGTTGGCTTTGGGCAGGTCTACTCAAATGGTGAAATTGGATTTTAAGAATGCTTATCGTATTTTATCAGTCCACCCACGTGATATACGTTTTTTGGGGGTGTGTGGGATGGCGAAGTTTTCTTTGATCACTGCCTCCCCTTTGGGCTACGTTCTGCCCCAAAGATCTTTTCTGCATTTGCAGATGCTCTGGCGTGGATTCTGCATCATCAGGGAATTTGAAATATCATGCATTACTTGGATGAATTAATGTTCTTTGGTTCTCCCGGTTCTGAGGACTCAGAGTTTGCTCTCCAGTTGGCCCTTGATGTGCTGGCTGGTCTAGGAATTCCAGTTTCCGTTCCAAAGCTTGAGGGCCCAAGCACGTCAGTGACTTTTTTGGGCATAGTGATTGATTTTGAGACAATAGAGCTACGTCTACCACATGATAAGGTGGATCATATGAGGGAAGTTGTTGCTAGCTGGTTTGGGAGAATGTCTGGTTGCAGCTCTGATTTGGAGTCCTTGCTCGGGCAAATTTCTCATGCAGCAGTGGTGGTACGGCCAGGCAGGATTTTTTTAGCACCTGTTCTCCCTGAGCAAAGGCAAGTAGGGACCACTTCTTATTCACTTAGATACTGTGGTGAAGGCCGACCTGGCATGGTGGCCTGTTTCTTACAGGTCTGGCATAGAGCAGTTTTCGTGATTACTCAGAATGCCCCTGTAGTTCATGTCCATTCTGATGCATCTGGCAATTTTGGATGTGATGTGTTAACGGTAGACGCTAGATGGTTGCAGGTCCATTCTGATGCATCTGGGAAGTTTGGATGTGATGTGTTAACGGTAGACGCTAGATGGTTGCAGGTCCAGTGGCCAGATTCATGGGCTAATGTCAGCATTGCAGTAAGGAGACGGCCCCCATTGTACTAGCAGTGGCAGTGTGGGGTCGTTCCTAGCACAGCTCAAGGGTTTGCTTCCATTGTGATAATGTTGTGGTTGTCTCTGTCATTCAGAGGCTATCTGCCAAGGATCCCACTCTTCTTCATCTTCATTGCTTATATTTTTTTTATGCTGCTTTATTTCAGATGTTGTACTGTGCGCTTCAATTGCCTAGGGTATCTTATGTAGCAGCTGATGCTCTGTCTCGGGATAACATGTTATTTCTTTCCCTGTTCCACAGGGATCCAAGGCTGTGGTGTCTTGGGAGGTCTGCAACCTGCTGCTGTGGCAACGCCCAGATTGGGGCTCTCTTCCCTGGATCAGGCAGTTCAGGGCTATTTGTGACCTCTCTTTCCTCAGGTACCTTGCGGTCTTTTCTAACTGCTCTTAATAACTACCTCTCGTTCTGTGACCAGTTTGGCTTTCTTTCTCCTTTTCCTTCCTCTGAGTCTCTTCTTTCTCAATTTATATCTTATCAGGCTGGTCGGGGATTGTCATAAGGGTCGCTTTGGGTGTATTAGAGTGGGGTTCGCTGTGCCCAGATTTCCTGCGGTTTTTCAGATCTTGTTTCATGTGCTTTTCCTTGGTTGGAGAATATGCTACGAGGCATAGGTAAAGTCTCCCCGGGTCGTATTAGACCTCAGCGTCTTCCTGTCACTCCTCATATTTTGGGTACCTTGTTGCGTCTGTGGTTGTGTCAGCCAGTGTCATATCATAGGGTACAGTTGTGGGAAGCATGTTGTGTGGGCTTTCTTGGCTTTGTCCAAGCTGGGTAGTTCACTTGCCCTTCTAGGGCTGCTTTCTCTAAGTACATGTTTTCATTTGTGGATGTTGCTGACGATTCTTACTCATTCCCTCCTTTTGTGTCACTGCTTCTTAGCTGCAGTGAGACTGATATATTTGGGGTATGGGTCCACATCTACTTGGAGCAAGTACAAGGTCCGATCTGTTCAGTAAAGTCCTTATTGGCCTACCTGGCGGTAAGAGGCCCTGATCCTGTTCCCCTGTTTGTGTTTCAGGATGGGTCTCCACTGTTGCGTTGCTGCATCAGGGATAGATGTTAGTCGTTTCAATGGCCACAGCTTTCGTATTGGGGCAGCTACTACCGTGGCTGCTTGTGGCCTTGAAGATTCTCTTATCCAGGTTCTGGGTTGGTGGAAGTCATTGGCATTCACCCAGCATATTCTCACTCCAAGGTGTTCCATGGTGGGGGTAGCCCAGACTCTAATGGCTTCCCATTGACTTTTCCTGCTTGAGTTTGTGTTTTATTGGGCCTTTTGCTCTTATTATTTCTACATAGGTTTATGTTATTTTTGTATTGATAAGATCTTGCATTCAATGCATTCGTACCTATTTTATTGCATATTCTGACAAATATTGGGGAGTGAGATGCCTGTGGCATCTCTTGCAGTGTTGGTTCCCATCACTCACTCCCCCATATTTGTGTAGTCTGCCTGTTACCATCCTGAGTCTCTATTCTGGACCCCCAGGAGGGGCGGTTGCTCTGAATGGCCAAATCTTACAATGTGGGGCACAAACACTAATCCGGCTCTCCAATTGAGCTGCTCTCTTATTGGGTTCCCTACCTGTGGTAGGGGGCATGACCATAGGTTACCCATGACATGCCCGCTGTTGGCGTCGGACCATTCGGCGGCGTTGACATGCCACAGTTGGTTGTGATGGGCATATCCATTAGGCCACCTGCACATTCGTGGCTCTCGCTATTAACGATGGACCTGTCGGTGGCTCTGACATGCTATAGGACACCTGCTGGTGCATCATGATCATATGCTTCCCTCACAGCCATGGCATCATACTGTTGGCAATGGACCATTTAGCAGCACTGACATGTCATGACCAGCTGTGCTCCTTTGTTTATGCAGTTGGTTTCATCCATGTACTCCTGGGGTTTTTACCAACCCCTTGGCTGTGGTTAGAGGCAGAAATTCGGGAAGTGGCCCTAGCAAAATTTCAAACCTCTTTCCTCCTCATTTGAGGTTTTCAAAGGCCAATAGTCATTAATGTTTTTTATTTACTTGTGCATACATGACTATGCCTACATGACTATACTGCATTAAGTATAGGTATATAAAGAAACACAATACTTGTAAATATACATACAAGGATAAACACTTTCATACATTTACATTATTGTGTGCACACATGCAAGCAATACAAACACATAATGCATCTATATAAATATACACTAAAGTTATATGATGTAATAATATCTTTTATCCACTCCAAAAAGCTGGATTTCTTCACTGAATACTTGTGCCCCAATCACTACTAATTACAAGGAATAGAGTCAAGAGTTGTGTATCATAGTATAAATACTGAGGCACTTTTGTGGTTTTAATAACATTAATGTATCTCTTCACTTTCCCAATAGACACATGATTTATAATTTTTGGTTCTTTAGTGTATTTATTTCATCAATTGCTACTGTTAAAGATGTGATTTTCTTTGCGATTAGTCATATTAGAGCAACTCCTTTGAGTATGTTACTTAAGAAAACGTATGCAATTCCATCTTCAAAAATTTTAGGACTTAGATCAAATACAGAAGCACTAAGAGATAGACAATGAACCTTGTGTATAGTAGCTGTGCAGCAAGGTAGTAATGGCAACTGTGTACACAGTCTTGTTAATTCTTTGTTGCCATAGACCTTTTCTCTGACTGGTAGTATAATGACTGCGTCTTGTTTTGAAAGATCATCAATTGTGACAAGGTTCACGACCTTTTCTCTGACTGGTAGTATTATGACTGCGTCTTGTTTTGAAAGATCATCAATTGTGACAAGGTTCACTAAACCTACACTTGGTCATGAAATTTTACATTTACTTTTGTGGTAAGTCCCTATTTTTGCTTAATCATCAGTTCCGTTTGGCCAAAATAAACCCACAATTATTCCTCTATTTCCAATATGTAATCATTCCTCACATATAATGTTACGTGATAGCATCACCTGTGCTCCTATGCCTAACTTCCCTTTACATGACAAGCCAGCACAATCTCTTTGGATGGTATGAGCGACTATAGGACTTTTATATGTAATACTATACCAGGCAACAGTAATATTGACTCTACTAGTGAAACCTTTGCATGAAATTTATACATTTTAGAAGAGCGTGATAAATGTTTAGGTCTACTGTCATTATATTCTTCTACTTGCGCGTATAAAGGCAGTACGTGTATCACATCAATGAGATTCCTAATACCACTAGTCAGTAAGTACACTTATGTAAGTCATTGACTGAGACCCAATTGTGACAAAGGTGAGAGAATCTAAGAATTCTGTCTCCTTTCTGTCTGATGTGCTGAGATAAATTTATTAATTTCAATTAATTGGACCATAAATGTGTTGAGCCTGAAATAGAGAGCCTCAACCATCTTAAAATACAACTTTGCCCCTCACTGCTGGCCACTGATAGAAGTCACATACTGCATTGACATTTTAGTCCTATAAAGAGAACCTTATTGTCATTGGTTCCTTTAATTTTAGTTAACCTTTAAAAATACAGAAATTTGTTAAGTATCAGACCTTACTTCTCTCATCTATTATTATGGTGCTGACACATTTTCAGAATTGTTTTCGCTTCTTTCATTTCTCAGCTCCAAGATTTCTGTAGTTAGTGGAGTTGCGATGCTCTACAGGTAGATTCAGAGCCCAGTGAATAATTCTTCCACAAATAACAATAAAGGCTGCAACACCAATTTGTGCCAAATGCAAGCACCAATATAAGCTTTTTCTAAATGCAATTTGTTGACACTTATTTCATGGCTTTTACCAGTTGCAGCACCCGTTTTAAGCATACAAAAGTGTTTATGGTCCTCTTTTGAAACTCATGTATTGCTCTTAAATAATCAAGGACCTTCTCATGAAGGACTCTCTGGAAGTCAG